ACAGAGCCAACCCTATGGGAAAATATATTCGCTAATAATACATCAGATAGAGGTTTGATCTCCAAGATATAGGAAGAACTCACTCGACTCCACTCCAAGAAAACAAACGATCCAATCAAAAAATGGGCAAAGGACCTGGGCACACGCTTTTCCAAGGAGGAGATACAGAGGGCCCAGAGGCATTTGAAAGGATGCTCAGCATCACTAGCCATCAGAGAAATGCAGATCAAAACCACCATGAGGTACCACCTCACACCGGTCAGAATGGCCATCTTAAACAGATCAACAAACAACAGGTGCTGGCAAGGCTGTGGAGAAAAGGGAACACTAGTACACTGTTGTTGGGAATGCAGACTGGTGCAGCCACTGTGGAAAGCAGTGTGGAATTTCCTCAAAAAGCTGAAAATGGAACTGCCTTTTGATCCAGTGATTCCCCTGCTGGGACTATACCCTAAGAACACCAAAACGCCAATACAAAAGAACCTATGCACCCCAATGTTCATAGCAGCACAATTTACAATAGCCCAGTGTTGGAAGCCACCTAAATGCCCATCAGTAGATGATTGGATCAAAAAGTCATGGTACATACACACAATGGAATACTACGCAGCAGAAAGAAAAAAAACTACTAAACTTCGCAACAGCATGGATCGAACTGGAGAGCATTATGCTAAGCGAAATAAGCCAGGGGGCGAAAGACAAATAGCATATGATCTCACCTATAAGCAGAACCTAACCAACAATACAAAGATGCAAGGAAAATAAGCCCAGCAACACTGAAAGGAAAAGAAATCAACAGAGACAAGAGGGGGAGGGGTGGGGAAAAGGAAGGGAAGGGGCAAGTCAAGGAACATATAGCTAGGACTCATGGACAAAACCAAAGGGGAAGAGCTGAGGTAGGGAAGGGGGAAGGGGGCAAGGGAAAGTGGTGGGAGGGAGGCAGAGACAAATGTATTTCAAAAAATAAATTAAAATAAAATTTAAAAAAAAGTAAAAAAAGAAAATTAAAAAAAATTAAAAATGTACAACCAAGATGGCGGAGGAGTCAGTGGAAGTCACACTTACCTCTTCCCAAGACAAACCTGGAATTACAACTAAATTGTGGAGAAATCACCTGAAACAAACAACAGAACAATAGCAAGACAGAAGTCATGTGACCTCAGAGAGAGAGAAGCATCAGCTTTAGCACAACCTAACTTGTAAGGTGTGGTGTAGAGATTCGAGATATTGGGTGGGGAGCCCAAGGGCAGCAGCACCAGAAGGATATTAAAAACGGCCAGTTGGATCCCCCTGAGAAGAGTAAGGTCTAAACCATAAGCAGGGATCTCCAGCCTACAGCACCAGAGCCCAAAATGTACACAGATAACAGCCAGCTGCTCTCTGCCAGAGACAGGCAGCTGGAGACAAAAAGAGACATTTAAAGGTCCAATGCATACATTTTTAATTGCAGCCACTTACCCTGGTCTCTATCAAAGGCGGGGGCACAGTGCGCTAGAGTCGCCTGAGGAAACACTGGAGAAGGAGGCTTCGGAGAGAGAACTGAGAGTGACTTGCGGGATCTTGGTGCTGACTAATCCCCCATATGGCAGCTGCCATCTTCCTCAAGCAGACCACTCCCCTGAGGGGCAACAGTGTGAGAGCTCACAATAGCCTGACCCCAGGAGGGACTCTGCTGTGGCCTGGTAGTGCTAAAGCCTAATTGCTGAGTAGAAAATGGCAGCCACAGATAGTAGATCCCTGGCTGAAGTGGGCAGAGAGTGGTCGAGAGGCACTTGAGGGGAGACTGGGGAAGGAGGCTTTGGGGAGAGAGCAGAGATAGTAGCTGGGTTAGATAGAATCCTGGTGCTGACTGCTCCCCCATAAGGCAGCGGCCATCTAGCTCAGGCAGAACACTCCCCTGAGCAACAACCATCTGAGAGGACCCAGTAACCCCACTGCCAGAAGGGACTCTGCCCACCCTGTGGTGTCAAAGCCAGCATGCTGAGTGCAGAGTGACTAGGTTAACAGCTGAAGGAGACAGCCACAGACAGTAGATTGCTGGAAGTCTCCAACATACTGCCGAAGGTCAGACAGAAGCAACATCTGACATCATCAGAGACAGATCCAGAAAGAAAAAAACATCAGTCTCCTACCGTAGAATTTCACACCACAAAGTAAGGAAATCAAGACAGATCAATTTAAGAAGCAGAAGCAAAAAAGAAGTCTCACAAATAATGGGAAGACAAAGAAACATCCCCTAGTCGAAGGGAAAGGAGGAATCCCCAGAAAGAGAAATAAATGAAATAGAGGCAAGTCAACGATCAAATATTGAGTTCAAAATAATGGATCTAAGGAAGCTTAATGAGCTCAGCGAGTTCAGAGACAATTACCAAAAACTACAGGGAAACTACGAAGAACTTACTGCAAACTGTATCAGCATGAAAAAGGACATAGAAACTATCAATAAGACACAAGAGGAAATGAAGAATACAATTCCTGAATTGAAGAACACGGTAGAAGGAATCAAAAGCAGGCTCAATGAGACAGAGGATTGAATCAACAAGCTGGAGGATGGATAAGGGAGAAAAAAGCTCCCAGAAAGAGCAAAAAAATGAAAAATGACTCAAAAAGAACAAAGAGTCGTTGAGGGAAATGCAGGACAATCGGAAACATAATAATATCCGTATAATAGGGATACCAGAAGGAGAAGAAGAGGAGCAAGGGATAAGAACATATTTGAAAAATTAATGATGGAAAACTTCCCTAATTGGAGGAGAGAAAAATCACACAAGTCCAGGAAGCACAGAGGATCCCATTCAAGAGGAACCCAATGAGTCCCACTCCAAGACACATCATCATTAAAATGGCAAATATCAAAGTCAGAAAGAGAATCCTAAAGGCAGCAAGGGAGAAACAGGTAATAACATATAAGGGAGTCCCTGTGTGGCTAGCAGCTGACTTCTCAACAGAAACACTACAAGCCAGAAGGAAATGGCAAGAAATGTTCCAAGTTATGAAAAGCAAAGGCCTGCAACCAAGACTGCTCTACCCAGCAAGGCTCTCAATTAAAATGGAAGGCGAAATAAAGAGTTTCTCAGACAAAAGAAGGCTAAAAGAATGCACCTCCACCAAACCAGTATTGCAACATATGCTAAAGGGACTGCTTTAATAATAAGATGAAGAAAAAGAGTCTATGAATACCCAGTTCCTTTCACAGTCACCAATACTTGATATTACCAATATTTTGAATACTTATTAATCCGATTGTGACAATGATGTGTTATTTTAATTGTTACTTTATTATTTGTTGAAACTAAACCTGTATATTTCTTGCCTATTTCTATTATTTTTAAAAGCTCTAAATGACATTTTGGTAATTTATCCATTTCAATTAAATGTTTGTAAAAATTTTTCCCTAAAATAAACCAAAATTATTAACTCTTTTGTAGATGTGTTGCAAATACTGTCTTTTTCTATTACTTGTCCTTTAAGTTTTTTTATATGTGTATATATGTATAGCCTTAAATGTTTAATATAGTCATATTGTCAATATTTTACTTTATAGCTTCTGGGTTTGAATATGTTACTTCAGGGTAAGAAAAATATTATTTTGTATTTTCTCTTGAAACTCCTTAGATTTTACATATTGATTTTTATTCACCTGAATATTTTTTGTATAATGTGTGACATAGGGTTGTATATTTGTTTTATTTCAAGTAATAGTGGTCCATGTACCTTATTTGTTGAATAAGCCTTATTTTCCCCAATGATTTGAAATATCAATTGAATCATATATTACATCGTTAACAGATATATGTGTTTGTTTCTAGAATGATCATTTTATTTCATTTATTTACTTGATTATTTATGTTCTGGTGTAATGTTTTAATTGCTGAGATTTTATAATGGATTTAACTTTTTAAATATTTTATAATGGATTTTGATATTTAAAAAAATAAATATATCTGCATTTAAAAAACATTAAAAATGGAACTGCCTTATGACCCAGTGATTCCACTTGTGGGAATTTATCCAAAGAAACCTTAAACACTAATTCAAGAGAATATATCCACCCCTATGTTCATTGCAGCACTATTTACAATTGCCAACATTTGGAAGCAGCTCAAGTGTCCATCAGCAGATGAGTGGATAAAACCACTATGGGACATTTACACAATGGAACACTACTAGGCCGTAAAAAATAAAATTTTACCTTTTGCGACAGCATGGAAGGATCTGGAGAACATTATGCTAAGTGAAGTAAGCCAGTCAGAGAAGGATAGCTATGACATGATTTCCACTCATATGTAGGAGCTAATGAACAAATTGAACTAACAAGCAAAACAGAGGCAGACTCATAGATGGAGAGAGCAGGCTGACGGTGCAGGGGGAACTGGGAGTAGAGGGATTGAGCCAAAAAAAGAGAAAGAACTCATGTACATGGACAACACTGGAGGTAGAAGAGGGTATGGGGTATAAATGGTGATTAAAAAAAAACAATGAATAGTATAAAATGAAACATTAATTATTCTATATACCTTATTCTAAAATTGGATTTTTGAAACCTAACAGTGTTTTCTAGCCATCTTTCACTGTCAGTATATTAAGGGTTATCTCAGTCTTAACAGTTGCATAGTATTCTATAATACATACAGAAGATTGTTCATTCAATCAATCTCCTGTTGATGCACATTTTGGTTGTTTCAGTTTTTCACTATGTTGACAAATGCTGCACTGACTATTCTCATACATCTTTGGGCACATACACAATTGTGGAAAGCAATATGGAGTTAACCCAAAAAATTAAAAATGGAACTGCCTTATGACCCAGCAATTCCACTTGTGGGAATTTATCCAAAATCTGTAGAACATCTGTAGGATAAATTTCTAGAAGTGGAACTCCCAAGTCAAAGCATATTTGCATTTACTTTGGTAGAATCCCCAAATTTTCATCCCTAAGAATGTACCATTTATGTTCACATACACACAAAGAAACAAGAGACTATTAAGGTCGTTATTACCTCTCTGCGCTTGGCTTCATTCTTCCTGTATTTGTTGAAGCAGTGGCACAGGATGTTCCCACAGCAGCAAGCCACGTGCACTAGGGGGCCCTCTTTGCCCAGGCTCAAGCCAGAAGACACTGCCAGCACCAGTGTGATGGTTTTGATAATCAGGGTCCACTTACCCAAATAGCCCCTAATAATAAAACCACTCAAGATAGTTTTTATCTGCAGGTCAAACACAAAGAGATTGGATATAGACTAAGCAAGTAAAGCAGGCTATGGAACAATAATCTGGACCTCATTATAGAAACTATACCTTTTGAACAAGTGACATAAGTGCCTGAACTACAGTGACCCCATTTTGCGGGCGGGGGGCGGGGAGCCCAGGAGCCCAAGAAAGTGAGAACTGTTCTTTAAGTTTTCAAATTTATATCTTTTCTTTCTTTCTTTTTTTGGCTATGTGATAGCTGGGCAAGGGAGTATTATAAGTATGAGAGTGCACATATGGAGAAGGAGAGTTGGAAAAGAAAAGAATTTTCCCTTACAGACTCATATAGACTTGATTCTCTGCCAGAAAAATTTGTAACTACGACTTGGTCGGGAAACAGAGAGGGGCAAGATCATCTGGGTAACCTTAAATCTCAGTGGTTTCAGTCATTGTCAAGCAATCTAAAGCAAAAAATAGTTAAAAACAGGGTTTTAATCACCATTTTTTTTCTGGAGCAAATTAGATTGTAGGAAATACAGCAAACTAGTTTTTTATTTTATTTATTTATTTTGAGAGAGAGAGGGAGGAGGGAGAAAGAGAGAGAGACATTGATCACTTGCCTCTTGCACACACCCCAAATGGGGAACTAACCTGCAACCCAGGCATGTGCTCTAATCGGGAACAGAACCCGCAACCTTTCTTTCTGTGGGATGATGCCCAACCAACTGAGCCACACTGGTCAGGGCCAAAAATAGTTTTCTCCCTTCTGTTCTAACAAAGTTGACAATACCACTACATTCTCAGGCCAGAATCTTGGGATCCACCATGAGAGTTTCTTGGGTAGGGAGTGGGGGAGGTCTTTGGGGAGCTGGCTCACCAGGAACCCACAGGAGATAGGAATCAACTCCCATTAATGTCCAGGTGTCCCAGGCTGGGAGGAGACTTAGGGAAGACCCAGAGAAGCCCCAGATTACCTCAGGACCTGATCCTGTTTAACATTCATATTGCGTTAATACATATTAAATGTTTTAACAAAAAAAGATTCATTATTGTTACCATTTATAAGCCATTCTAGAGACTCACCTCAGGGATTCCAGAGCCACAGGCGTAAGGTGCAAATACCTTGACAAGAGACACGGCCAGGAAGGCAAATAGTAGAGCCCAGAGGACATACATAAAATAGTTGACTATGTAGGCAAAGGCTCCCTGGAACAGAGGAAAAAGAAAAGCAGCTTGTTTTAGCTAAAACAGCTTCAGTAAGGCATGCAGCTCTTCTGAATAACAGGTTTTCGGGAGAGCAGATCAGAAAGAAAAAGACCAATATTAAATTGCTCAAGATGTTCCTTCCCTGATTATCAGCAAAACAACTACTAAAACACTGTCAGTGCATTTGCTACTGAGAATTAGAGGCTTTGCTATACCCCAAGGAAAATGACAATAGCTTCTAAGGACAGGCAAGAAGAAGAGCAAACAAACCCCTGAAGCAAGCACATTCATTTTCTTTATGACTAGTTTGGTAGATTTTGTAGTCAACTATACAGTTGACCCTTAAATAATGCTGGATTAGGGATACCAACCCCTGAGCAGTTGAAAATCTCCATAAAACATTTTTATATTCAATATTACTCTGTGCTAGTTTGAGGTGTACAGCACAGTGGTTAGACAATCATATACTTTGCAAAGTGATTCCTCTGATATATCCAGTATCCATCTGACATTATATATAGTTATTACAATATTATTGACTATATTCCCTATGCTGTACTTTATATCCCCATGACTACTTTGTAACTACCAATTTGTTTTTCTTAACCCCTTCCCCCTTTTCACCTATCCCCCCAACACCTCTGACAATCATCAGTGTATTCTCTGTATCTATGAATCTGTTTCTATTTTGTTTATTTTGTTCTTTAGATTCCCTGTATAACTTCTGACTCCCCAAAAGCTTCGTTGGCCCTTTACATCCATGGATTCAACCAATCGCAAGTCAAAAACTATCTTTCATCTGCAGTTAGGAAACTGTAGATGCTAATATGAAAATACTGTGTTTGATATGTGGTAGGTTGAATCAACAGATAGTTCAATCCATAAAGGTGAATACAAAGGGACAGTTATATTTATTTTAAAAACTTGTGTATAAGTGGACCTGCACAGTTCAAACCCATATTGTTCAAGGGTCAACTTTATATGATACTATGTCAATTTTATTAAGATAATTAACAGCTCTTTTATTAGAATGGCTGAATCTTGGCTACACATTTGAAGTGAAGATTGGCTCTGAAGTTCCATTAAATTCACCTTTGGCTACCTACATTGGTGTCAAATTCTCATAGGAGGTTACAGTGTCTAAAATTCCTGGGTGTTTTTCTTAAAATACACAATTATCTTTTGTAGAGAATGACCACAATTTTGAGAAAATTTTGCTACCACAGATTCAGCAACAAGTTTATGCAGTAGAAAGTTCCAGGCTCTGACCATAAAACAAAATCAGTGAAATGTCAGATATCCCAAAGTATAAAATGGCAATAGGTATTTTTAAAATGGAGAAAGTATACTTTTGAAGCTACCCCTTATGATAACAAAGTCTGCTAGAAAAAAATCTAATTTTAACCACTCATAAGGATTCATCAACATTGAAGGGCTTGCAAATAGTTATGTCTTTAAAAAAACTGTTTTGAACATTAGATTATGCTTGTTGATAAAAATATTAGAAGTTGAAACTCATTCAAATTACATGAAACACAAAACTCAATGAACTCTTGACTTTTTAAAACATAAAATACTATTAAAATAATTTGCTGACCTAGACAAGGAGAACCAAAATATCCAGGTTTTTTCTGAGTCATAATTTTGACACAGGTTTTCCATTATCTTACTCCCTGAGAGAAACACACAATTGCTCTCTCTTTTTCTTTGGAATGTGGCTAAGGAAGAAGACTCAAAAAGTTGGAAACTAAGAGGGAAAGGGAGGGAATGGGAAAATAGTTGAAACTGGCTAAAGGCAGGAACCGGGAGGCCAAGTTCTTGGCAGGAGAACTGTTCTTAAAACCAAGAAAACTCTTTCCCCAGGCAAGGATTTTGTTCATAAAAAGGAGATCCAGATAAATGTGTCACTTTACAAATCTCAAGCTCCAGTCTGAAAGTTACTGGAACATTTAAGCACACACAGCTATAAAGGGACACCATGGAGAAGCCTTGTGGTGATACAACAATAGGTCTGTATCTTGATTGTGGTGGTGGTTACACAAATCTATACATGTGATAAAACTGCAGGGAGATACACACACACACATATCTATGCATGTAAAACAGATGAAATGATGTCTGTGGAATGTACCAATATAAATTTCCTTGTATTGCTACTGTACTATAGTATAAGATGTTAGCATTGAGGGAGGCTGAGAGAAGGGTAGGGGAAAGCTCCCTATACACTGTTTTGCAACTTCCTATGAATCTCTAATTACTTCAAAAATAAAAGATTTTTAAAAAGCAAGGAAATCACATATACACAAAGATACACAGACTCACCCTAAGTTCCAGGGCTTCTCAAATTTTTCTACCCAAGTACTCCTAATCTAGGAGAGTAAATAGACACATCAGGGTAGGGGGTGGGGTACCCAGGAGCAGAACTGAAATAAAGATTATGTTTTATCTCAAGAAACATGGGAATCTTGCATTTCCTTTTAATGACTGTTTACATTTAATTTTTGAAAAAAATTTGTCCAAATATTTAGGAAAAAATTGATATTCTGAGAAGGCACATAGCATTTTTTCCTGTGGTTTCACCTACCCTTTGCCACACTGACCCCAGTTTGAGAAGCATAGACTCTCATAACCCTCTCATATATACACTATATATTTACCCCTGTTATTGATCTCTTTTCCCAAACCAAAATATGTACAGTCATAGGTACACTATTATTTCTGACATTATTTTTCTAACCTTTTCCCTTGACTGATTCTGTATGTGTGTATATGTGTGCCATTTCAAAGTGAGTATAAAAATAAATTTTAAAAGCACATACATATATCCTAGTCTTGCCCCCCTCACTTCACCAACAGAGTGGATGAGTAGTGAGCTGAGATGGTACCTGTTTTAGTTAGTAGAAGTCAAAGTGGAATTGGGAATTCAGAGTTGCTTTGTTTTGTTTTACTTAGTGCTTTTTACAAATAGGAATGGTCTAACTTACAACTAAGTGGTAATAGAAAGGTAAGGAACTGCAAAGCAAAATTAATTCTGCATTGAAAAATATAAGCTAGAAGGAGGATAAATGAAAATATTGATTTAATCTCAAAGTGGAACTGGGGCAATTTTATTCCTAGGTTTCTGTTGTTTTGATGTGGAATGTATTATAATTTATAATTTTCTAATGTAATGCTCAGGGAAAAATTACTTTTGGAACATATACTATAAACATATTTTTAACTCACTCCATCCTTAGTTAGAAATTGTAGCTTACCTGTCAGACAGTTCTACTGAGATTATTAGAGGAAGATAGATTCAGTCACAATGTGTACTAAAACTACGAAGAAACCCTAAGCTTGTGTAAAACAAGCAAAAATGTTAAGTCACTGTGTAAGCATCAAATGATCCCATGTGCCAGAAGAGAGGGAAATAAGGCTGCACTTAAACCACAGAAAAAGGCAGCTGGCACTGGTTCCCCTTTTCATGAAAAGGAAAATGGGGGGAGATTCCAAAATTGGCATGAGTACAGTATAAGAAATGAAGGAAATTAAAGAATAAAAGTCAGTACTTCCAAAATCTTCACTAAATGTTACCTCATCCGCACTGATGAGAAGCTGGGACCAGCTATTCCACTTTGGGCATTTGTCTTTGTCTTCAAAGGTAACATACTTGGAGTCCCAGCAACAGTGTTCATGATTAAACCACAATCCCTCTGTGCATATACCTTCTTTTAAGTCTGTCATCCAATGAGCAGAGATGTCTATCAAGCCAGCTAGGGAACCTGATTTGAGGGCAGGAAAGGAAGGGACAAAATTGTTAGAGAAAATGAGGAAAAAGGGATAAAAATAATGGGCAAGCATATACTTTTTCCCATTCAACTTGCAACCTCTTTCTGACTGTCTCTATGCTTGATTTGCACCTACTATCTCTAATAGATTTCACCTATTGTTAAATGCCTGTTCAAGAAGGAAAAAGCAGAATGAAACATTGTCTGCATTAAACACTGTGTCTGTAGAATTTCTATATAGGGGAAACTTAAGGGAAAGCAAAATGGTTGGATGGGAGCAAGGCACAAATGGATTTGACCTTTAGCTGATTTAGCTTCTCTTTTCTTTTTTGGGGAAGAGAGGGTCTTGGCTCTGCTTTATTGACCTCAGGGCGCTCTTTGGATGCAGTTAAAAAAACAAACACAATGGGTACTGGAACTGGATCCAGGATGGTGCACCTGACTCCAGAAGAATTTCCCCAAACAAAGTGAATTTATACAAAATGCCAGAGGAAAAAATGAGGCAATCTGGTAGTTAGTCCAGGGGTAGCCAGTGGGCAGAGGAGCAGTCAGTGAAGGAGTGGGCAGGTCACACCTCTTTCTCATAAGTACAAGTACAAACTGCATTGCCATGGGTGAGTGTCAGGGTGAGTTCTCCATCAACAAGCTCCCATACAAGTGTTGTTCCTTGCCCATCCCATTTCTGCACATGGACAAGTTTGCCTCCATTCAGCATCACAGTCGACTTGACCTTCTGTCATCTGCTGTCGTCTCATCAAACTCCACCCCTAGCTTGAAGCTGACCTCCATATTCTTGAAGGTGCTTTGGATTTTTATGGAGATAGTGTCCCCATTTACTTCAATGATTGTGGTAGGCTTGGTCATATTGGCCACCTGCCTGGTAGCAAAACCCACACCAAGTGACTCCATGTAGTCATCGAAATTCTTGCTGTCCACTAGGTTTCAGGTGCCTGCAAAGGCTTCCACCATGATGAGGCTCAGCTATGCTAAGAAAGGAGAAGCGAAAAGGATGGCAAGGATGGACTCTGGGACCTGCCTAATTTAGCTTTGAAAGATTCTGCTTTGGCTTAGAGTTAATGAATACTGATCCATAAAGACAGTCAAGTTTATTAAAATTATTTTATTCTCCCTATATATGTAAGATTGAGAAAACTGACATTGACCATATGGAATTATATTATATGTTATCTTATTTGAGATGGCCTGGAGAGGGGAACTGATAAAGATTATGGGGTGAAGGACTCAGTCTTCATAGTGATTTTGTTCCATGGACAAAGCAATTTGAGCAATGGCAGGCTAAGGGAACTGAATTTATAAAAGCACACACTGTGATACACACAGAAGAAGGTTATATGAAACTGTAGACACGTTGAAGCCTCCTTAGCCTAGGGCATGAACATTCTGAAGTTTTCTTAGTGAGAGGAGCAAACAATATTATATCCATAACATTCATCAAAGAAAATTATGAGAAAGTGAATAGTGAATGGGGACTCAGGCACTATGGCTAATAGACTGATAGGGTTAAGACAGTTATAGTACTTTTGATTCTGGTCTTCTCATCATTTCTGTCATCCAGATGAAGAAATTCTGGCATACAGAAATTAAATGGTCTAGAATAGTGGTTTAGGGAAACAGGAAAGACATAAAATTCACAGCCCCTGAATCCACAGGCTGTTCCTGCCTTCAGACACACTGCTTCTATTGTAGCTCTCCAATGCTTAAAAACAAAATACCCTGTGTGTATGAGGGAAAGAAAAATATTCAGTGACCACCTAGTGACAAGAAATACATTAAAAAGTTGAGGATATTATATTTGCATTCCAACAGGCTGGAGGCAATTTCACATGTATGTTTTGGTAGGTACTAAAAGTGTTAACATAGATTATGTACATACTTAAATAACCTAGTCAAATCTAACAGTTTGTTACCTACTCTTGACCATTTCGGCTCCCACATTCTCTTTCTTCTAACTCTTATTGCACTTACTGCCTGGGTTCAGAAAAGTAACATTATGTTATAGAGTTTGGCTTGCTCTCTAGTTATTTCATGCATGCATGTGTTATCCTACCTAACACAGGTACCCTCAATGCTATCTTCCCTTCTACTTCTACCCCTTCTTTTCCCAATTGGCTTCTTTCCTGGTTACAAATTTCATCAGGTTTCCCCTCCTCTAAAAAAAATAAAATGTTTTCCCTTGTCCTTGTTACCACCTCAAGTTTTTGTCCCTTCTCTACTTCCAATGAATACCAAATACCTCCAAAACTTCCACACTGCTTGCTTCCCCTTGAACTCTGGCCCCTAACATTTACCTGAGATTGTTCTTCAAGGTCACTGGTATCTTCCTAACTGCTAGACTATATAACTTTTTCTCATTGCTCTTCTTTATCTTCAGCTTCTCTGCAATACTTGGGACTACAGATCACTCAGTCCATTATTAGTCAGCTCTAAACTTGCAGAAGGGATAACATTAACACCCTAGACCATGGGTTGGCAAACTATGGTTGGAGGGTCAATTTCGCCTCTGTGTTTGTAAATAAAGTTTTTCTTGGTCACTAGCCCACTCATCTGTTTACCAATTGTGTATGGCTCTTTTTGTGCTACAAAAACCATTTGGTCCACAAATCCTAAAATATTTACTATCTGGCCCTGCAGAGAAAATATTTGCTGACCCATGCCCTAGATCATTGAAAAGCCAGCAATGGGTAAACCATTCCTCATTGCAACAAGCATCTTATACTCTATGGCTCATGAATTATCTCTAGATAACAAGAGCAGAAGCACCATTAACAACTGGGCACTGTGGTGCTATGTGTGCTCTATCTCATTCAATCTTCACAACAAGTGTGTAATATAGGTACTCATTATCCCCATTTTACAGATCAGTAAACTGAAGCTTCCAAGGGTTGAAAAGCTTGCCAAAAGCCACAAAACTAACAAGCAGCAGGGTTTGGATTAAACTCTAGGCAGCTACAAACTAGAGCCTGTGCTGTTAATTGCCATTTCATCTCATCTACCTCCATTCAGGTTTTCCACCCAACTTTTGTTTTAGCTCAATATTCCAGATATTCCTACACCCATCTTTTAATGCCATAAGGCTACAACTGTTAGCATCTCTGCCAGGTATTCTTGGCTTTCTGCTTCCTCCATGGGAGGGGAAGCCTGCTTGGGAACTTGCTTTAAAGCTGTATTTGCAGAAATCATGATGGCAGAGGAGTGAATGGAAGTCACCCTGACCCCCTTCCAGGACCAATCTGGAATTACAACTAAATTGTGGAGAAATCACCTGGAACAAACAGCTGAACAATATCAAGATAGGATATCTCGCTATTATCTTGGATAGACAGAAAATCAGCTTTAGCACAAGCGAACTGGTAAGGAGTGCGGTAGAGAATCAAGAAGGTGGGAGGGGCACTCAGGAGTGGCAGCACCAGAAGGATATTGAAATGACCAGTTTAATTCCCCTGAAAAGAACAAGGCCAAAACCATAAGCAGGGAACCCAGTCCCTGCCAGTCAGGGAAGCACAGAGGGTCCCATTCAAGGGGAACCCAATGAGGCCCACTCCAAGACACATCACCATTAAAATGGCAAATATCAAAGACAAACAGAGACTCCTAAAGGAAGCAAGGGAGAAACAGGTAGTAGCATATAAAGGAGCCCTGGTACAGCTAGCAGCTGACTTCTGAACAGAAACACTACACACAAGAAGGGAATGGCAAGAAGTGTTCCAAGTCATGAAAAGCAAAGACCTGCAACCAAGATGGCTCTACCCAGCAAGGCTCTCAATAAAAATGGAAGGAGAAATAAGGAGTTTCTCAGACAAAAGGTGGCTAAAAGAATACAGCTACACTAAACCAACATTGCAAGATATGCTAAAGGGACTGCTTTGAGATGAAGAAAAGGAATCTATGAATATCCAGCTCTTCTCAGAGTCACTACTACTTGATATTAACAATATTTTTAATACTTATTAATCTGATTGTGACAATAATGTGTTATTTTGTTATTGTATTATTTGTTGAAACTGTTTTTGGATATTTCTTGCCTATTTCTATTATTTTTAAAAGATTTAAATGAGTTTTTGGTATTCTTTACCCATTTTTTTTTACTAAATGTATATAGAATTTTTGCCTAAAAAAGAAAACAAAAAACCTATTAACCCTTTTTTACATGTGTTGCAAACACTTTCCCAGTCTATTACTTGTCCTTTACCTTTTTTTATACATATATTACTGTATAGTCTTAAATGTTAATATAGTCATTTTGTCAATATTTTACTTTATAGTTTCTGGGTTTGAATATTTTACTTCAGGATAAGAAAAATATTATTTTGTATTTTCTCCTAAAATTCCTTAGATTTTACATATTGATTTTTATTCACCTGAATATTTTTTGTATAATGTGTGAAATAGGGCTCTATATTTGTTTTATTTCAAGTAATAGTGGTTCATGCACCTTATTTGTTGAATATGCCTTATTTTTCCCATTGATTTGAAATATCAGTTTAATCATATATTACACTGTTAGACAAATATATACGATTGTTTCTAGAATGCTCATTTTATTTCATTGATCTACTTGATTATTTCTGTGCTGGTGTCATGTTTTAATTGCTGAGACTTTATAATAGATTTAAATTTTTTAATATTTTATAGTGGATTTTGACATTTAAAAAAATAAAATCAACCTGCAAATAAATAAATAAATCTGCAGTTAAAAAAATAAATAAAGAAGGAAGGAACTCCTACCTTTTGCGACAACATGAATGGAACTGAAGAATATTACACTAAGTGAAATAAGCCAGTTGGTGAAAGACAAACACGACACGATCTCACCTATAAGTGGAATCTATTCAACAAAATAAACTAACGAACAAAATAAACCACAGGCATGGAAACATGGAGCAGACTGAAAGTGACCAGAGGGGATGGGGAAGGAGGACAATGGTGGAAAGAAGGAGAAGGGAGTAGACAAAAAACATGTATGAAAAACCAATGGACATGGACAACAGAGTGGGAAGTGACTGGGAGCGGGGGGGCATGGGATGAGTGGAGGAGGGCAAAGAGGGTAAAATTGAGACAACTGTAAAAGAATAAACATGATTTAAAAGAAAATCATGTTTATTCGTGTATCGTATAGTAAAGGGAGAAGCGAAAGAACTTATACGTACAATATGAACTAAGGTGGTGGGAATGCTGGGGTGTGGGGTGGTGTAGGGTGGAGGGGAATAAAGTGGAGGAAAACAATGGGACAACTGTAATAGCAACATCAATAAAATATATATTAATGAGAAAAGCTGTATTTGCACACCAAGTGTAATATTCTGAGTTAGAGTGTATATTATTTGTAGTGTCTTAGGAGGTTGGTGAAGATAGGAAAAGGTGGTAGCACCCCACTTTTCAGCCACTATGAGAGAATGAGATGGTAAAATCCTTCAGGGTATGAGCCATATATTACGTGCTTTCCTTTACCCCCAATTGGAATAGTAGATATTTAAGAAATAGCTACAAAAACATCTCAGGAGGTCCTCTTCTACATCTTCTCTCCTAAACTCCATGTAGTGTGTGTTTTAAAAAAAAAACTGAAAGTACCAAAGGCAGTGCTAACAGCACCTTAAAATGAATACATCATTTTATAGCATACACATGCATTTAAATGCAATTCCTCATTAAATCTCATTTATTTAAGGAAGGAGATTAAATGCATGTATTAGTACCCCTTTATGATGGGGACATGTGCATTCAAAAGATCCATCAGCAATTGATTTCATGTAGGAAAATCATAAAGCATAGCACTCAACTCAGGTCATGACTTAGGGGAGGGGCATACTATAATTTTAAGAGATTTGTTTAGAAAACTAACAGAGTTTACCATACCTGATAAAAGCCCAATAAGTAGCATCAACAACCAGCCAGAAAAAGCATCACTCACACTGTGAATTAAGGCCCATGTTGACTCTTTGCTTTTATTCGTAATCTAAGGAAAAATGAGAAAACATTGATACATTATACATATACCATTGCTTTTTCACTTTCAAACGTGCAATAAGTAAAGAAAACACAAAGACAAACCTACTCATCGGGAATAGAGACTGATTTGGGGTTACTTCTAAAATAATCTTTGGCTAACCCAATGTAACCAAGGACTTTGAGGTTTATTGAATCTTGACTACTGATCCCCACCTTCATCTTTAATATCACAATGCCTGCACGTATCTTATTCAGGCCTTCCATATTCAGCTGCTGATTTCTTAAAGTATCACTCTATTTTGCTTACTGAAGTGGTCTCTTTCTGCCCTAGGCATCAGATATTTCAAGGATGGTCTCTTGACTCACAACAAATATTTGGTTGTTTTTCAAAGAATAAACAAACATAAGCTCCTTTGAGTGGTGAAAGTACAATTTGAGGTGTACTATCTATCCAGAGCTATGCTTCAAGTCAGGCAAATTTCAAGACTTAATCCCACAAACCCCTAACTCTACACTGATCATAGACACTAAAAGATATTAGAAATGCATCTTTATTTTCAGAAACCTGCTGGGAATATCTAAGGCTATCAAGAGTTGCAGAAAGCTTTAACTTTTAGGTCTTAGCCTTGTCAGTTTATCCCTTCGGTGCCCACATTTCAAAACCAAGCATTCTGACAGCTTTGTCATTGATACTACCCCTCTTCTCTGGACCTCTATTTCTTATATTTGCAACTGTGAGTTAGCCACTCCATCTTTATCTATCAACATCACAACTAATTATAATAAATTATAAAAAATTTTAAAGCCATTTAAAATTGCATTTTAACCTATAACTTCAAGTTTCCAGTCCAGTGGTGAAAAAGTAAATGAGGTGACATTTTTCCCTGTGGCTATTTCCACTCCAATGATGAACAGTTACTGCTAAAAAGTCCCCTTTGAACATTTCATAAACACATTTTAATTGATTTTGAATGATCATTAATTGGTATAATTTGTCTCAGATGTAACCATTTTAATACAATGGGAAATATGTCCTTGTCATATCACAGGTGACTTTTGCAATGTGAATAAAGTTGAATATGCAACTGATGACAAACTGAACTCTGAATTACAAAGAGAAGAAATCCAAATGCCATAAAATTCCAAAGTTTAAAGCCTGCTTGATGTATTGATAGGATAAATAGAATACATATGTGTTCCTAAAAATCAGAAACTTTTGAAAAACATAGAGTGTTTTATAGAGATCACCTTTTTAAGTTAAAATAAGAAAACTCAGTGGGATTATCACAAATCCAAGGATTACAAAGGAATTTCTCAAAACCTGTACCTGGGACAACCTGACTCATGGGTTCAGGTGGTCACAAAAGAACTAGTTAGGAGCTGGGAAAGGCTTAAGAATGAAAAGTGATCTGCTCAGGAGATTGATTTGGCTGTTAGAGAAGGAAATCATGAACTCTGGACAGAACGGGGTCAGCTTAAAAATCAAATTTTAAATTTGGAGTCAGAGCAGAAATAACAAGAAATAAAAAATAATAATACCTACCATTGGTTGAAATGTCTCTCCAGAGGATCACCTACTGAATCAGGGTAACTGGGGCAGGGCCGTACCTTTTTAATAAGCTTTCTATGTGCTCCAGACACAAACTAGAAATTAGGATTCCCTCATTTAAATGATACACAGCAACAAGTTCAAGGCAAATGACCTTGGTGGACTGCTCTAAAAAGTTTTCATAGTACTTTGAAAAGTGGGGAAATGCTCTTGTGATATTTACAAGAAGCTGTGCCATAGCCATAAGTACCACCTATTACCTATCATGTTAAATCAATGTCCTTAATTTGAATTTGATTGGTCTTGTGATTTTGTTTGAGCCAAAATACATAAATTTACTTCAGTGTTGTGGTTGTACAATAGCTATAATCAGAAAAAGTTTATCTTGTGTGCTTCAATAAACATTAGGGCTCTGAGATTTCTTTCTTTTATTCCTTTAAAAGGATCCAATTTACTTTTCTTAGTTCTAAAAATCCTGTTTCAAGGGAAAACCATGAAAGGGAGATGAAATGGGAAAGGAGGATCTTTGAAATTTATTTTGGTCACTCCCACCAAGTTTGTTTTCACCTGTCTGCATAGATATTTATACCCATTTCAAGGCTGTAAGGATCCTTTTCAACCACTTACTACAGGAATATAAATCATCATTAAATATAAATTCTTTTCAAAATCATATAATGATGGCTTAAAAACAAATTAAAATAAAACTCTACATTACCAATAAAAAACAGATTTAGCCACATACAGGGCTGAAAGAAAGAATACATATAAAGAATATATATCTTCAACGTCTTCTTCTGATGTTTCCTAACAGTTACTCATTTGCCATCTTTCACCTTACCTCTCGGTGCCTATCCCGGTCTCGAGACTTCTCTCTCACCCAATCAATCGTATTGAAATCATCATAGGTCCCCACACCAGGGATTGGCTCCTCCAAGAAGTCCATCATCCTATTTGAAGAACCTATTCCTCCACCATTGTATGACCTGTCCTCTGTATTGAACAGGAAAGAGATATTAGTATTTCAGACACAGGTCATTTTTAATATTTCTTTTCAGCACACCAAAAGATGAGCCCTTAAACTACCGGTTGAATACAGTTAGGATGGGTTGACAAAGCAATGAAATCAATCACCTGGTGAGAATATCCATCACATTCAGAGATTTCTGTGGTCTAAGCACAAAATAAGTATCTTAAGGCAGTGTAAATGGAAGGGGACAGAGGAGAGTGACAATACAAAGGGAGACTGACAGGAGTTGAAGTGCACTAGGAAAGGATTTATGAAGCAAAAGACAGGAGCTTGGAGCAGTTAGGTATTTCAGTTTCTGTTATTGAAGGGAGATAAAAGGGTCAAAGACCCTTGCAGACACATCACAGCAGAAAGCATTTTACATTTATGAGGGCAATAATTCATCTTAGGAAGTAGCTTTTGCCTTAATGGGGACTCCAAAGAAAGAATATCAACCTCTTCAAGAGTTAAACTGGCTGGAATGTACCTATTTCCCTTCAATGGGTAGAAGGCTTTGATCCCTGATGTAATAAGCTTATAGAAACTTTTACTGAGTATGTCAGAAGAGCCTAGGTTTTATCAGTAGAGATTTAAAGAGCAGTATGAGGCTCCATGATGATGTCCCTCCTTGATATTTCTTCAACTGGAAGAAACATATCCATTTGCCCAACAATCACAGCCCTTTATCTGCTTCACCTTTAGCACTTATATTACAATTACTTAATCAAATGTTTTATGTACCTTTCTAGACTAGAAGTTCTTTGAAGGCAGCTACAGATCTGACTCATCATTGCCTTCTCCAGCATCTAGCATCTGCACAAGACTCAATAAATACCAGCTAAACCAAAGTTTGTTTGATGAACTGTAGTGATAAGGGAGAAGTATTCAAACTCAGAAGTTGTACTTATACAAGGTTACTTAGTCTGGCTTAACAAACTTGTTCAAAATATATCCACAATCCTCTGATGGAACAATATTTAGCTATTAAACATAAAATGTAAAACAGTATTCAGGTATTTATGCAAATGCACACTGAGAAAATATGCAGAGTAATGGCATGATTGAACTCAGACAGTCAGAGCTCACATTTGTAGAATCAACCTTGGCAGGTACAAAGCTTTACCCAGACTGTTTGGTGATGAATCCCTCTACAGAGAAGACCAAAGTGGGCCTGAACTGACTCCCCACGCCCCCTATCTGTATCCCCATCTTCACTCTAAACTTCCAACAGACAACTTCAGCACTCTCATAGTGTCAGTTTGAATTAACACCCAAGCTGTATCTGGTTTACAAATTTGACTCTTCTCAATACCTAATGTAGCATACCTTTCATAAGCAACACACATATTTGAAATGAAAAGCTCTGCAGAGTCCAAATTATATTGAGGAGTAGGGCTGGGGGTGGGGATGGAATGGAGGAGGTGAACAAGTTAATCTTAAAACTCCTAATCAAAGTCCTTTCCTTATCTTCCAGCCTACCTGGCTGTAAAATGGTTGGCTGCTGAATCACCAGCCCAGTATTTCCTATCATGTTAGTGGCATACTGATAAAGATCAGTGTTGGTGTGCTGTTTGAGAGCTTGGAGGGAAACAGCCAGCTAGGAAATGAGGGCAGAAGGAGAATAAGTATGTGAGGGGGTGGGAAACAAGCCTGTTTAAATTCTCAAGACAAATGCTAACATGATGAACACAGGACACCAAACAATCAGAAATTTACTTTTTAAAAGCAGATTCATATTTCAATTAAATTTGCTCTGGTTTAAGGGTGTTCCATTCAGGAGAAATTTAAAAAAGGATTTTGTGAAACTGATTTTTAAAAGCAATAACTATCTAATGTTACACTATTATCAAATGAAGCCCCAGCTCGAAGGATATTAAGACAAAATGAAGATCTGCAAACAGCTTTCTAATAGATATGAAAGAAACCTCTTCCATTGCTAGGTAACACAAGCATGCATCATCCTTCTTTGTAGATAGTCTCCTGTTATAAATGCAAATTATCAGGCAGCTCTAAAAGAGCAGGCAGTCATTAGAATCTGACAACGGGCTGCTTGTGATTCTCCAGATTCCCTTCTCCCTGGGGTCATGCTTCCGTCCCTGGCCAGGCTCAAGTCTGCTTACCTTCAATTACAGCTTTCTTTTTTTCTGCCTCAAGGAAGAAATAACCTTGGAAGCTCGCATTTGGTCATTTAGGTTGAGAAGCATTTACAGAAGGAGCCCCGGTAAAAACTGCTTTAGAGGGGCACTTGCTGCCTTCTCTGCCTTCCACAGGAACAAACGCCACCTAAAGAACCACCAGTGTTCCCCGGCAGTCAGAGTATGATGTCACTGTTGAAATCACATGACCAGACCCTTGGACCAGCCTTGGAGAAAGGAAGATTTTTAACCGAGCACAGAAGCCTTAAAGATGTAGTCTCATCAAAACTTATGCCACCAAACTGGTGGCAGTCAATTCAGTTCACAAAAGTGGGGTCCATTTCTATCTGACATATTTCACTTAGTGTATTACCCTCAAGGAAAGATAAAAATCATATACCACTCATGTGGAATATAAAATAAACAAATAAGTAAATAAACAAAACAAAAACATTCATACATACAGAGAACAGATTGTTGGTTACCAGAGTAGAGGGGAGTGGGGAACAGCCAAATGGGTAAAGGGGGTCAAATGTATGGTGAGAAAAACTAGACTTTTGGTGGTAAGAATGCAATAGAGCATACTAGAATTACAATGTTGTACACCTGAAACTTTTATAATTTTATAAACCATTTTACCTCAATAAAGTTTTTTTTAAGAAAAAGAAAAGAAAACTGGGGCCCAGACAAGTTTTAGTCTTCAGACCTCATTTAGTAGAAAATCCAAGAAGGTAAAGTGGAAATCTCCAAAAGCAGTTAGTTACACGGGTCCTAAGTAAAAAAGGGAGAGCAGCAAATATATTTTTAAAAAAAGCTTTTAAAAAAATTCACTACATAGAAATAACATGAATAAAATCACAAATATAACACTGAAGATCCCAGACACAAAAGAGTACATAACATGATTCTATTCATACAATTTCAAAATCAGATAAACCTAAATTATATTGTTCTTGTATAGGATACAAAAAGTGACTACATTACAAAGAGAAGCAAGAAAATGATGAAAGTAAAAACAGTGGCTACCCAGAGGAAGAGAGGAGGTTGTCATCTGGATGGAGTGCATAGTAAGGGTGGAGCTTCTGGAACACTTGTAATTTTTCCTGATCTGAGTGGTGGTTACCAGAGTGTTGACATTATAATTATCTTTAAACTGTACACATATGTTTTATGCCTTTCTAAGTAAACATCATAATTAGAGAAAAATATAAAAAACTGAACTGCACATGAACTGTCTACACAGGGTCAGTTCTTTAAAAGCACCCAATAACTTTGAAAACCTAAAATATAGTTAACAAAAATGAGTTGTTTCTTAGTATTAGTGCTTTAGCCAGAAAGCAAAATCATATCTTATCTTATTAAATCCAAACTGGGTAAAAGTAGCTATGTCAGGCATAAACATGAGTTCATTACTATAGTGGCACTGTTTTAAAGGCATTCCCTTCCCTGGCCCTCTTCTGAAGGCTGTTTTTAAGCAGGTCTTAATTAATTGTGTAATAAGGCCAGTCCAATAAAGAAGAATCAAATTGCCATCTCCCAACTTCCTAAGTGAATGCACAAGATAGCCACTGTTAAGCATTAATCCAGTTAGCATGCTCCAGTAATCAGACTTGAATGTAGAGTTAAAATGTGGAGTTACTCTCATCAATTCTTAAGGCTCAATGCACCCTGAAATGTTAATAAAACAAAATCTTATGAAATGTAAGGAACTTCAGGAAACCTGTATGTTTTCAGTCCAGTCTATCATTATTATAACATCTCAGTTTCTTAATGAACTAATCTAGCATTACTGAGAAGAATTAAAATGAAGTAGCAACTGATGGTATTGTAGCAATAAATTGCAAAGCTTAAAAAGCAAAACTATTTGTGGCCCAAGTGTGAGTGCCTTATACAATTACACTTTTAGAAAAGTGTGTGTATGTATGTGTGCATGTATATAAATATAATGAGATATGTCCGGAAAAAGTCCAACCATTGTTAATATAATGGGGACGGTTTGCGTGACATCAATGTAACCTGGCAGCCAAGGAGAGTGGACTGAAATGCGCATGTGTGAACAATGTTGACTTCACTGTACTAGTCAGTGGGGGCAGGAGACGCCATTGAACAAGCATGTGTACTGTGTGACTGTTGCATTCAAAATGACTGAACAAATATAGCAATGAATCTGCATCAAATTTCACATTAAGTTTGAACACTCGTCCACAGGAAAAAAACTATTCAGATGATTCACAAGGCCGCAGCTGTGGGCAACCAGTGACTGGCAGCTTTACCATGACAATGTGCCCACTCATGTATCAGATCTCATGCAGAGGTTTTTGGCAAAACATCAAATCACCCAGGTGACTCAGCCCCGCTACAGCTCAGATTTGGTGTTCTGTGACTTCTAGCTTTTCCCAAAACTAAAATCACCTTTGAAAGTCAAGAGATTTCAGACCATCAGTGAGGTTCAGGAAAATATGATGGGGCAACTGAGGGCGATTGGGAGAACTGTGTGAGGTCTCAAGGTGCCTACTTTGAAGGAGACTGAGGTGTCATTGTCCTAGGTACAATGTTTCTTGTATCTTGTTTCTTCTTCAGTAAATGTCTCTGGTTTTCACAGTACATGGCTGGATACCTTCTGGACAGACCTTGTATATATCTTACTTAAAGAGGATGACATGCCCAATCTCACAATCCATCTTCCAAGTCAGTTTTTATTAAATAGGATTCCACGTATAGTATCTAAAGACCTCTACAGAATTCACTTACATGATCTAATAAGATTTACATTACTTTATTAGATGATTTTACACTTCAAGATGCTATTCGTTTTATTACCTAAAAAAATGTTCTTCAACATACAGTGACTGGATTGT